CTTTGGGTAGAGTTTTTGGTTTGTTTTTATTACTGCTTTATTAAGGGTTTCATCGAAGATCCAGAGAAGTCGTTGGCGGAAGACGAGTATCCAGAGATTCATGATGGTGCTTCACTTACTGATATTCGAAGAAAGGTGATGACGTTTCGACGTGCATTCATCCCCTTTATTACCTCCCTGATTATCTTCAAAGCCGAACCATGAGGATGTAGTAATGCTTTTCCAATCTTGATCCGGGGATTGATACCTGGATTCGCTGTCGGAACTAGCCGTGAGCCCTAGTTATAAGCATGACGCTCTTATGCCTAGTTCCTTTGATGCACAAGGACCGATAACAACCGATGCGTCGAAAACTATTTTGCAAGTGGCGACGTGTGCAGCATGCGCATCAGGACCCAACTGGTCTTAGGTGAATGTCCTACACTCCAGCCGCGTCCTATGCCGGGGAATCCACGGTGGAGGGGGGGATCGCATTTGGTGTGAGAAAATTTTTTTCTAGGTTGGTTAGGCCTATTTCATGCACTATCCACACATTGAGAGATTTCCTTGTGAAGTGGGGAGGAGTAGCCTTGCAGGTCAGATACAGGAGTCATATTTGGCCTAAGAGTTTTTTCGTGCACAAGGAAACTTTATATTGTTGACTTTTTGCGCTTTTTTCCCGTTTCACATGTGTTACATGTGCTGACCATGATCTGGATCTCCTGGTGTGATCTCTTTGTTGCCGATTCTGATTGATAGCACTCGATTACCCAACGATGGGAAAACGATGTTTCAAGTGCTCTGTGCAACGTGGATGTCCTGGCGCCGCTTGTTGTACATTGGGGATATCCCGATCCCCTTCTCCAGTGAGGTCAAAGATCACATGAGGAGGGGATAGTATTTGGCTTAGGCTTAGTTAGCGGCTTGAAAGTATCCAATTGTCATATATTATCATCATAATAATTATTACCATATAAACTCATTGTTCCTTCTTTCCCTTACTGACGAGCACAGAAGAAGGATATACAACTCGTTTGGTTTCCGTCTAAGGGCACGTGCGAAACGGAAACCAAACTATCTCCTTATGTTGACCCCGTGTAATAATGATTAATAACCAAGCTTATAGTTAACCAAATGTTTTATAGAATAAATCTAAATGCTACCATAACTTACTGTAATATATTAGAAAAGTATTTGATTGTTAATATTTCTCATTTCTCGCTCTGAACCGCACCTTCACCCCTTCCTTCCTTCCTCCCCTTTCTATGCAAAATTACGATTTCTGATAGTTGGGTCAAGTAAATGTCCACAGACGGGGAATTTTTAGGAAAATTCGTAATAGATTAAAACGATCACCCGTCTCCAGCAAACGTGACCAACTACCTTCAATGGATAAAATTAATAGGTAATTAAATTAATATATTTAATAATTAGTTAAATTAATTAATTTAATAGTTAGAATCTTTCTTACAGGTGCATGCAACTGCGACCTACTATGCGGCAGCCGCCTGCTTGCGATTCGATCGAGTGAAAAATGGAGCGCTACGTATTGAGCAACCAAAATTGGTGTTTTCACTGAATCCGGAAACGAAGCTTCCTTATGCAGTGAAAGCCGAAGAGGTGCTCTTTCTAATTCTGTCCTACATCGTTATGCTGTCCTACCGTGAGGCCATCTGGATGAGCAAGCTACTTTCAGCCTCAGGATTCGCATAAATTGGTGAAGGAGTTCATGTTGTTGGCAAATATTGCTGTGGCGACGAAGATAGAGGCACACTTCCCGAAGACGGCATTCCTGCGTCGTCATTCGCCACCAAAGCAGAAGGTTCTACGGGAAGTGGTAAGTGGACGGGAAGAATCCTTCTCTAAATAAGAAGACCAGCTGATGGCGTATGTTACAGCTGGAAGTATGCGAAAAGATTGGTTTCCCTCTGGATGCAGCATCGTCAGCTCGACTTGCCTCATCGTTGAGCAAATTCCAAGGCGGAAATTCACTCCTACAGTCAATAAATCAGGTGAGAATTGTAGTTTATTATGTTGTTTATATGGTGGTAAATTTCTATTTAGGTGCTGTCAATGTTGCTGGCGAAACCCATGCAAATGGGTTATTATCTTTGTGCGGGTACAGCAAAGAAGAAGGATGAGTATCATCATTATGCGTTGAACGTACCACTGTACGTACTTATTCAATTTACTGATCTGCTGCCTTTCTTCCTTTCCATTCTCTTTTGAATCGTATTAAATGGAAGAGAAAATGGATGGATAGCGTGAAAGGGACTTAAAGGCACAGTCCACGCTGTTCGTGTGGGCGGAGATAGTGAGCCCACTCACCATTCTGAAAAGAGAGGCGGAGTTTTGCTCGCTGGTGCGTCTCTCCTCTAAAAACGGCGATGAAGCTCACTGTCTCCGCTCACACGTGCGCTCTCCTTTAAAGGCACGTTCCGCGATAAACTAAGGCTAGGTTCTCATAACCGTGCACGATGGTCAAGCAGGCAACGTCAGGCTATGCTGCTTTTAAAAGTTGAAAAACAGCAAGCAAAACGCAGCGCGCTCAGGTTTTAGGCCCATTTGCGCCCGATAGGCCCATGCCGGCCTCCAGTGACCGTGTCGTTGTGAGACTGCCATTGCGCTCTCTCGCCCGTCGTTTTCTGGCCTCTCTCGTCTCTTATCAGTGTATCGCCGCCTTTCGCAATTCACAATTGATCTTGACCACCTTACGCTCGTCCGGTGATCATGATCAATTGCAATAAAGAGGGTCTTATTCCGGGCGCTTTTTCGTGCTTCCTTCTCCTTCAATAAGTCAACAAACACACGGCAGTTCTATTTTTGAACGTATTACCTATGAGCTGTGGTCGCGGGAATTGCCTTTAAGTCCCACGATCAGACCCAGACTGTGCCCCCACTGTGGATGGTTTCGCAATGGTTCGTGTTTTCACGAACGCGATCGGCATAGAGTTCCTTTTAGCCCTTTTCTTCCGGGGTGGGGTACGGATGGTGATATCGCGACGCATCACGCATTCGATAGACCGAATCCCGACAAGAGGTATCGGTACATTTGTTCACGACGCGCATGCACCAACCGTTTTGTAAAATCAGTTGCACGTCTTAGCGGCGCATTCCACACTCGTTGTGTGGGCGAAGCCGGGCCCTTTAGTGCCGTTTCGTCATCGGCACACCACTTTCTACCATGTCAGGAGGCTTAGCAAGAGAGACACCCTTGAGGGAATCACAAAAGTAAGCACGTTATTGGTTACTTATTAATGGCGGACTACTTGGCAAGGAAGTCACGCATAAACTAGAACTGTAGTCTAGTCCATGAAAAATTTAGCAGCGGTTTTTTTTCAAACTTGTTCCTTGCCATGATTTATATGCTCCATATCCCAGAGGTGGAGTGGGCGTGGCTGCGCTTACCATGTGAACATGGTGCCGGTTATGTTTCTGGCGCGATATTACCGTTTGAGACAATAATAATCGTGACTGGTGTTCAACACAATAGAAGATGACAGTAATCTCGAATGAATTATCCGACGAGAAACGTATTCTACGCTATGTTCAAAGTACGCAGCCACGCCCTCTCCGTTTCCGTGGATACATTGCGTATCATTCTAATTTAATTCATTCATTCTAATTCCAGTTACACACATTTCACTTCCCCAATGCGTCGTTATGCCGACATAATCGTACATCGTCAGCTGGCTGCCGCTCTGGGATATTGTCCGCCGACCGAAAAGACTACCGCTGATTTGGAGAGGCTGGTAAGTGTCCGGATAAGCTCCTCATTCTTCTGGTGTTCATATATAAAGTAATTACTTAGGCCCAACATTGCAACGATAAGAAACTGGCGGCAAAGGCAGTTAGCGATTCGAGTGATGACACGTTC